TGCTCCGTGCGACGCCAGGATGGTGGACACACGGCGCGATGCATTTGTCCAAACCCACAGGATGTGGGCGGACCCTGGTGTGAACTGGGGACTCTGGATGGTGATGGTGGCAACGCAGGTCAATCAGCTGTGACACGTGCACCCTCTGGCGGGGGGGGTTGCTGATCCTGGGGGGGCTGCGCACGCGCGTGGGCAGGAGGCTCGTGGGGACCCTGATTGCGCCTCCATTTTGCTCTGCATCCAAAACGTCTCTAAAAATAAATCCTATTTTTAAAACAGTAATGGCCTCAGAAATTTAATAAATGACAACAAGCTTTTATTTTCTTAAAGAAAGACAATTTCCCCAAACTTAATAACATGTTTGCGGTTTGAAAGGGCCCACTGTGTGTCTCTCATGGAGGGTGAAAACAGAACTACCCCAAGATACGTCATTGTAAAATTGGGAACATGGAGACCAGGAAGACTCCCCACACGTTTCCAGAAAAGGCCTGGATTCATCAGAGCCGTTGGCCCCCCGAGCGGGGATGTCGGAACATGGGAGGCGGTGGTGCAGGCGTGCAGGTGGCGCAGGAAGAACGTCACTTCCTGCCTGGAATTCTGTTCCCCCAAGAAAGAGGGAGACCTGGGGCGCAAAGACAAGGTCACGTCAGAGAGGAGTGGAGGGAACCCCAAGGAAGTGGCGGCAGGAGGCGGCAGGGCCACAGCTGTGCGGAGGGTCAGAGGGCAGCTGTCCATGCAGAGCAGGTCAGCAGGCTCGGAGGGGGGCGTCCTGAGTAGGGAAAAGCATGAGAACGACCCATTTACCCAAGGCTCTCGAGAGGGGGTTTATGTAGGCGGCTGAGAATTTTGGATTAAGTCACTGAGAGGAACACAGAAAACGAAGCTAAATGGGAAAACAAGACAATTTTTCATTCCAGAGGAAGAAACTTTAGAGGGGAAATAAATATGTTCATAATTAACCATGTTTCTGCTGTGAATATATTCATGTAATTATGTAAACGGTAACAAGGCTTTTGACTGACCCCAGTTGCAATCCACATGTATTGGTAGGATGGGAAAAGGAATAATGGAAGTGGAAGGAGAAGTGAATAGTCAGCTAGACCACAGGTAGTGGTTACACCTGAAAACCAAGAAATTTGAAAACATGGAGGGGGCAAATACTAAGAGAAACAATTAAAATAGTGGTTTTTATTTTAAAGTTATTTTTAGAAGATTTTATTGATTTATTTTTAGAGAGAGAAGAAGGGAGAGAGAAAGAGAGGGAGGGAAACATGCAAGTGCCCTGACCGGGTGCTGACCTGCTGACCTCCTGCTTTGTGGGAGGACACCCAACTCCCCACCCGTACCCGTCAGGGAAAGATGGTGTTTTTTCTGGAGAAGAAGCCAAGGAGGGGAGAGGTGGTACACGCTGCTTGGCAGCAACCGAAGAGCCCCATTTTACCCTACTTGCACGGGAACTGATCAGTTTGTCAGTTTCGCGGAGGCTGGCAGAAGGCACAGTTCTCTGGGATCAGAGACAAAGAACAGTTCATGACGCACAGCAGTAGTAGTGGAGTGTTAGCGTCTTTTATTGTTCCCTGAACCCCACTTCTGAGAGCGGGGCCGTGAGAGCGGGCGGAGGCTGCAGGCGCAGTGGGCAGGAGGGAAGCCAGGGCTGAGGAACCTGGGTGTTTAGTAACGGTCGCGATTCTGCCTGCCTTTCAAGGGTTCGGAGAAAGATGCTGTCTCTTCCAAGGGCCATCTGCTGTCCTAACTTCTTTTAAAAGGTAGCAAGGAACCAAGTAGGACGGCCAGTGCCTCACCCACGAGATGTACAGAAATGCAAGTGAACAATGGAGAGCTGATTCTCCAAACTGCTGTCATTCATCTCCTTGAATTATTTAATTTTAAAAATGTGCATGCACCTAATACTTCCGTGAAAATACAAATCTAATAAGTGAGATATTTTAAATTATTCAAACAACTCGCAAGCTCCCACTCCTCCTGACTCGGCATCTTTTCTTTCCAACGGAGACCCAAAGTTCAAAAAGGAAGTTTTCTGAAGCCCTGCACAGGGGCCGGGGGCCGGCGGTGGGAGGAAGGGCGGCTCCAGCCCCAGCGAGCCCTCTGATCCTCCGCGGCGTCCTCCCGGGCCCTGAGCGCGGGGGCTGAGCCTGTCAGGTCCGACCCCGCGGCCCGGCCCGGCCCGGCCCTGGGTAGCAGAAGAATTTCGAGCCAGAGGTGCCAAGTGTTTGGAGCTGCCTTTCTGAAGTTTGTGTTGATTGCAATTACGGGGTGTGAATGGAGCCCTGGAGAAAATCAGGAAATAGCAACATAAACCAGTCGGTTGACTTGGGCAACGGAGCCTGTCCTGGGACTGAGGGCCAGAGGGCCTGCCAGCCACTTCTGATGGCGCAGCTCCCACGCCCCCGTGGCAGGGCAGGCGGAGGGGCAGGCACCTCGGCCACGTCCGCCCACCCCGCACCCTGCACGGCCTGGGCCCCAGGGGACCCCGCCTGCAGAGCTTGCGCGCTGCCCCCTCGCCAGGGCGCAGGGGCGCCGGGAGCTCGGTAGCGCCCGCGTGTGCAGCCGGGCCCTGTCCGGCCTGGCGCGGGACTCATCCCGCCCATCTTCGCGGGCCCCTCGCTCGGCCTGCGGCCGTCGGCCTGTGTGGATCCACACTGGGGGCCGGCGCCCGGCAGCTCCGGCCGAAGCTGATCGGCGCCCTCACCCCTCCCTGGGGCACCAGCTACCGCCTGGGGCACGGAGGAGGACCGGCCTCCGAGCAGAGCCCTTATCGGTCCCATCTCCCATTACATAAGGCCGCGCCCCTATCTCCGCGGGGCATTGCCGCCGCCACCGCGGCCGCGCAGGTTCTCCCACGCGCGGCGCTAGGTTCTCGCCAGTCCGGGGATCAGGGAGGCGCTGACTCATCCCGGCGCAGGGCTCCGGGCTTGCGCGGCCCACGGTGTCCCCCCACACACATCCCCCCCATCTGAGACCCACCTGAGACCCAGGCGAAGATGCCCGTGGTCCTATTCTACAGATGAGGAAACTGAGGCCCTTAGCGGGGTCCCCCAGCCGGGAAGCAGCACTCCAGCCAGGGGGTGGGGATGGCGTGGGGTGGAGGGGGCGGTGGGCCGAGGGGCACGAGGGGCACGAGGGGCAGGTGCTGGCTTCCGAGTCGGGGCCTGCAGGTGGCGGAAAGCTGAGGGTTTGGCAGAGCAGAAGGCGGGATGCTAGTGTCATCGGAGCGAGGACAGGGCCCAGGCCGGACAGCTCCCAGCTCCCGCGGCCCGGGGGTCTCCTGCGGAGGTTGAGCCCCGCCCAAGGGCCGGGGCGGGGTGGGGGAGGGGGCGGTGGTGACAGAGGAGCTGTGCCCGCAGGCAGAGGGGCCTGCGGGGGTGGGGGCGGGGCAGGGGCTCACTGGAGGGAGGAAGTGGGTGGGGGCGGGAGAGCTTGACATCAGCACCCAATGGCCAAACGCTATTTGTCGTGGGGATTCTGGGGGACTTCTAGAAAAGACGAGGGAAGAGCAGGAAAATGGCTACAAGCCAGAGTCCCCGCGGGGCGTGGGCTGCGAGCAAGGGACCCAGGAGCGGCTTCATTCTGCAGAAGGGAACCTCGAGGCCCCCAGAGGGCATGGGGTTGGGTCCACAGAGGCTGGTGGGCCAAGGTGGTCGCCCCAGATCCCAGTGGCACCGGCTCCACCTCCCACTGACGGGGACACTAAGGGCTTGCCTGCAGGGTGGGCCCACACTGAGGGCCTGGGCGGCGTGCACTCCACGTTATCTCCAAAGCCAGGTTGGCTCCGTGGATCCGGCACCGGCCTGTGATCTGAGGGGCCACGGGCTGGATTCCTGGTCAGGGCCCATGCTTGGGTTGCGGGCGGGGTCTCTGGTGGGGGGGCGCAGGAGACGCAACCACACATTGATGTTTCCCTCCCCCCCCCAAAAAAAATAAATAAATAAAATCTTTTTAAAAAAGGAAAGATCCCCGCCCTGGCCAATGGCCCCATTCGTTGGAGCATCCTCCTGTACACCAAAGGCTGTGGGTTCAATCCCCAGTAGGGCCCTAGAGGAGGCAACCAGTCAACGTTTCTCTCTCTCTCCCCGTCTCCGCCTCCCTTCCTCTCGATCTAAAATCAGTGAACATATCCTTGGGTGAGGATTTTTTTAAAAATAGGGAAGAAAAGGCCCCAAGGAGACCTGTGAATCTGAACGTCCATGACCCCTCCCACAGGAGGCCGGCGGGGAGCCAGGTTGGCCGGGAGAAGTGAACTTCGCTCTGCTCCTTCTTCTGTTTGGATCTTGCACCCAAAGCCAGCATTCCTTTGGTAATGCCACAGACCAGTTCATTGAAAAAAATAAAACCCCCAGTTTCCCAAATCTGGTGGCCTGGGGTCACCATTGTCTGCGCAGCACATATGGGGACCCCAACAGGTCCGAGGACAACAGCTGGCAGGCAGGGCAGCCGGAGCTCTGGCTGCAGGGCTGGGGCCAGACCCAGGCCCCCCGAGGCCTCTCGCCTGCCCCCGGAAGAAGCCCATCCAGACCTTGGAAACTGCCCAGACCCCTCTCAATATTAAGTCCACAAGAAATCAGTGAACTGGGTGCCAGCCTGTGAACCATCGCGTCGCCGGTTTGATTCCCAGTCAGGGCTCATGCCTGCATTGTGCACCAGGCCCTCAGGAGGGAGCGCGTGAGAGGCAACCACACACCGATGTTTCTCTCCGTCTCTTTCTCCTTCCTTTCCCCTCTCTCTAAAAATAAATAAATACATATACATATATAAAAAAAGAAATCAAACGCTTTCCTTTATGCAGCACTGGATTTTCCACAAAGTAAAATCGAGATAAGTAAAGATGTGGTTTCTAGATAGTGCCCGACAAAGCGGAGACCAGGGGGTGAGCGTCATCACTTGGGCCTATAAAAGCTGCCACAGGAGACCAAGGTCACAAGCACTCCGCCTGGGCCAGCCTGTGTGTCTGCTCCTGACTCCTCCTGTCCGCTCTGGGCTCCATGGCGCTCTGGTTGACCTTGGTCATTGCTCTCACCTGCTGCAGCGGTCTCGCCGCCCCGGGTCCTGTGGCCTCCTTCACAGCCCTCAGGGAGCTCATTGAGGAGCTGGCCAACATCACCCAGGTGAGTGTCCTCTAGCCAGGGTCCCTGCTCTGAGCGTGCTGGTCAGGGTCTGGGCCATGAAGGCTGGGCCTGGCGCTGAGATGCCTGTGGGTCAAGAAGAAGCCCCACTGACCAGAGGTGGGTCATGAGGGAGGGAGAGGCACCGGGCTAGGGGTGCAGGTTTGTGGACGGACCCGTGAAGGGGTTTGGCAGAGCCGCAGCAAGACCAACTCAGCCATTCCTGAGAACAAAGAAGAGCGAAGGGCCAGCGTGCGCTTAGGACCATTTGGCATTTGCCAGCAGGGTCGGGATGCAGTGATGGGGCTGTTACCCATAGCATCTTAGCTAAGCCTGTTCTCATGGAAGGGTCCACAAGCAGGGATGCTCCCGATCACGAGCCAGGCCTGGCTCTGGGTGCTGATCTCTCATTGCATTGCTGCCAACCACCTCGAGAGGCAAGTGTGAGGATGCTGTTTTACTGACTGAGCCTCCACGAGGTTAATTGACAAAAACCAGGTTCAAACCAGGCCTGGCTGACACCAGAGCGCCCACGCTCTGGAGGGTGGCGTCCACCCATCAGCAGGCGGGGCATTTATACCCCACAGCCCCCCGCTCTCACCTGACCCCTTGGCCTTCCTGACGAGCCCCCTGCTGACTGGCCTGGCGCCTTCTGTCCCCCTGCCCTGGCTATGTGTGGTGAGCCTCTGCGCAGAAGGCTTGTCCTTGCGCAGCTGGGCCAGTCGTCCTCTCTTGGCTCAAAGACGCTGGAGGAGGGTCTCCCTGACTGTGCAGAGAAGGAAATGAGGTTCAGGGACACTGAAGGCCAGGCCTGTCTAAGTGCAACATGGGGGGCATCGTGGGGCCCGGCCCTCCGGAGGACAGGCCTGGGACCCCACCAGCACTTGGCTCACTGTCCCCTTGCTCCCGCAGGCCCCCCTCTGCAACGGCAGCATGGTGTGGCAGGTCAACCTGACAGCTGGCTCGGTAAGGACCCCTTGCACACTGGGACCCACCCCGAGGCTGGGCTTCTCTCCGCAGAGCCTGGCCGCAGGGCTGCGGCTGCGGAGCAGGCGTAAAGGGCTACTCTCTCCCCTCCCACCACTCAGCACCCGCCCCTTCCTGTGAACTTGTGGCCGCAGCAGGGCCTGACCCCCACCTCCCCACATCCCCTGCAGTACTGCGCCGCCCTGGAGTCGCTGATGAACGTCTCTGACTGCCGTGCCATCCAAAAGACCCAGAGGATCCTGAGCAAATTCTGCCCCCACAACCCCTCAGCCATGGTAAGGCCCCAGCCCCGCCCCCCGCCCCCCGCACCCTCCTGCCAGCCCCGGGTGCACCTCGGAGCTCCAGGGAACCTGGCTAAGCGCCTGAAGCGTGTGTCCACCGGGGGCGGGGGGTCCACCGTGGCAGCAGGGACACGGCCTTTGGGGTTCCCAGGACCTGGGCGTGAGGGCTCCTGACTCCCGCCCACCTCTGTAAAATGCGAGCGATGATGGTACCCACCTCATGGGGTCCTCTCTGAGGACCCAACATCCTCCAGCCGAGGCTGGCCGTCCTGGCTTGGGTGCTGTCCCACCAACACGTTGGCCTCTCTCTCACTACAGCAGGACCCCAACCCACCTGCCCGACACACCAAAATTGAAGTGATCCAGTTTGCCAAAGACCTGCTCCAACACTTGAGGAAAATTGTGCGCCACACGATGTCCAGCTGAAGGCACCGAGCACACATTGCTGGCATCGGTGCGGGCAGGGGCCGGCCATGGTCATTTACGCTGCAGATTCATTTTCCTTTCAGGTGTCAGGCATTTCTTGGGGAGACGGGGCGGAGGGGGGGGGGGTAAGATTTCCTTAGCTTAGACCTCAGCCTGTGCTGTCGGCCTGCGGCCCAGCCTGGCCGGCGGCCCCTTGTCCTGGTGCCCAGGGCCGGGGCTCCGAGCCCAGCAGGGAAGGGAACAACATTGCTCCGTGACCTCCCCTTCCTTAGAGCCAGCTGGCGCATTAAAGCACCTGCCACCCTTGCCCAGCATGTGGTGGGAGGGCACGTGCTTCTCAGGGGGCAAATGAGGCAGGGCGCAGCTCAGATCTACTTCTTCTTGGCCTTATTTATTACTGTGTGTTATTTAAACAAATGTGTTTGTCTGTGCTGGGGAGCGGCAAGGACCGGCGCGGCCAGGCCTCGTAGCCATGCCGTGGAAATGGGGCTCCGGCATTAAAGCAGCGGGCGCGGGGGGCCCCAGACCAAGCACTATGTGCCAAACTCTGCTACCTCACTGGGGCCCCGGGCGGAGGCTCCCATCCGCCAGCCGGCCGTTGACCCTCAGCCAAGGAGTAATTTATTGTTTTTCCTTGTATTTAAAGTTAAATATTAAAATATGTTATCAGGGTTAATAATATATATAAGAACAACCAAGAACACTGCATATGGTATGGTGGATTCGGGGGGAGTGGTCATTGAATATATTTTTTCATTGACTTTGTCAAACTGGAAGCCAGAATAAAGAAAATGACAAGAGACCTCACAGTGTTTGCCTTTCGTTGTGACCGTTGGGAGCGCTGGCCTGTGCACCTGAGACCCTGTGGGGCTCCTTCAGAGGGGAGAAAATGGGGGGGGGGGGGCTAAGGCGGAGTGGGAGGCACGAGGGACAAGGCCTGGGCAGAAAGGCGGGGAGCAGGCCCTTGGCGGGGGAAGGCCTGGCTTGGAGGAAGCGCGCCCACCCCCACCGCAGGGGGCTGGGAGCTTGGGCCAGGACGTCGGGGTTTGAGCCGTGTGTCTGGGGCACCACATCTTATGACCACAGGCCTTGGTGAGCAGCCAGCCTGCCCCCGGCACTCCCCGCACCCTCCCCGGCTGCCTCATCACCTCCCTGACACTCAGAGGAGAGAAGGAGGCTTGCCCAAGGCCACGAGGAGCAAAGCCAGGATCTGAACCCCAAACTCACTGCAACTCCACCTAACAGCACGTAACAACCCCGCCCCCCTCTGTCCGAGTGCCATCTGGCCTGAATGCACGGCCTTTATAATACTGTCTGCAGCCTGACAGGGGGCTCACTACCTACACTCTCGTCATTAGAGAGCGCGCGCTCACCACCTCTCGCGAACGAAGGCGTGCCGGTTGACTTGTGGCCCCTGGACGTGCAGCGGCTGACTGACCTGCAGAGCCAGGGCCGCGGGGTCCCGGCCAGGGCTCTCCGAGCAGGTGCCACGGCGCAGGCGGAAGCAGCAGGCGCAGCAAGCTCCGCGGGCCGTCGTGTCCTCCCTCGGCGGTTTCCACCGTGCCTCTTGGGGAGGTGCCCGGAGCAGAGGAGCTGCCCCAGGGGGACGGGGCGCCTTTGTGCTGGGTGGAGGGTCATTGGAGACCAGTCTCAAACTCTGAGGGGCAGGCAGGTGTCCTCGTTGGGGAGCCCAGGGCCCCGCGGGAACACCTACAGTGAGGCGCAGAAGTCAGCGAGAGCGGCTGCAGGCAGCAGACGCCACGGCAGGACGCGTCCAGGAGGCAGATGACCACGACAGAATGCGGTGGCACGGACCTCTCCCGCACCTGCACCCGGGCAGACGTGCGGGAAGAAGTCACAACTGACGGAGCAGGACGCTAGGGATGCTCGGCCCAGAAGGGGAAGACCTGGGGAGGGGACACGGGAGCTAAGTGTCCCACAGGCTGTCCAGAGCAGAGACTGGGCTGGTTTCTGCGGTCCCAAGGGGTCCCAGCACCTGGTCAGTCACACTGCAATCGCTGAGGACTGCCAATGGCCTGCACCGCGGCAGCCTGCTGGGTGGGCGAGGACCAAGACTGCGCATGCGCTCACGGCTGAGCACCAAAAGGGCATCTTTGACAGTGGAGGGTTGGGGCCGGGGCCTCTACTCAGGGAGCGGGGGAGGGTCCAAAGTCAGGGACAGGGATAGGAGGCAAGGTCTCCGCTATCCCACTCCAGTGAGAGATTCGAGGATTTTAAGGCCAGAAGGACATTTACAGAAGACTAATTTTTTAAACCCAGAACTTAGTGATCCTTCTTTAGGCAGTCACTTTTGGCTCATGACCTCTCTGCTCAATCAAGGCATAGGCCCTTCTGTCCAGAAGGAAGATGGACAATCTTCTGGTGAAGTTCTATGTGAATCTCCTGAGAAAACAGACTGGAATGGAGGCTGGCGTAGGGGACAGTCCCTCAGGATCTCCCAAGGCTGGGGTCCAAGCCCTGTGGTCCCAAGGACCCTGCGGGGCTGGGTACACAGTCCCGACAGGGCCCCACCACTAGGGGTCCACAGCGTGCCACCTGCTCAGCCACCCACAGCTCCCTGCCTGCACCTCTGAGACTGCTCCCCAACAGGGGACCTGTGGTCACCAGCCGTGTGCTGTGAGTCAGAGAAGGCTGGGGGCCTGCCAGGGATGACGGATGCCTCACAGAGCCACAGAACCAAGCCACCTCTGGTGGCAACGGAGGTGGGTTCAGCCAGGAATGAGAGAGAAAGATAAAAAAAAAAAAAGACAGAGAGAGAGAAAGAACAAAAAGATCTGTGTCAGCCATTGTGGCTGGGAGACTCAGCACCTGGGCACTGGTAGTTTTCTCTGCCCATATCCTCTGGCTTCTCTCATGCACGAGGCAAGGGTGGAGCCCACAGCGAAGGGAGAGATGGAGCGCCAGGTGAGTAGGAAGGAGATGCTGACCATGGGGCCCAGGGCGGGGAGCCCCTGGCACCCCAGGAACCCCAGGCCTGGGAGGTTTCACTGAAAGAGGGGCTGGGACTCAAGTGAGAAATGAGGCACAGGCGAGTTTCCGGTGGAGCCGGCCCCAGGCACCTCTGCGCGCTGTGGGCTGAGGCGCGGAAGCGCTCGGACCAGCTCGGCCACTGCGAGGCTGGCCCTCCGATCGGCTCAGACCCTGAAGGACAGGGGCTGCCTCTCCTTCCCTCAGGGCCCTGCAGCTCAGAGGAGGCTGGGGTTTATCGAACCCATCAGCTTATCACTTTTTCATTATGATGAAACAGGGAGCCCCTTTTGCTCATGATGCTAATTCAGCTGGTCAGTCTGAGCAAAGTCAGAAACTGTTCTTCTGTTCAGCGGACTCCAGTGGAAGGAGGCCCAGGCGTCCAGGCTGACTGTGCTCCCGGGGACAGGCAGGGTGGCGGGGGGCTGGCCTGGGACAGGCCAGCTGGGGAGCTGGCTTTCTAGAGGGCTGAGCCGGTGTCAGAGCTGGTGGGTGTAGCCACGGCCACCCTCCCACACACGTGGCCCACTCCTACCCCGAAAAAGAAAAGTCATACAGCCTCATTATCTTCGTTCGTTTCTCGGCTCCACCCAGAGCAGCAGAGCAAAGGGTTTGCACCGAACTTTCCCAGATCAACTGATTTCCCGGCAGCCCCATGGGAGGGCCCCATGACGAGGCCAGTGAGATCCCAGAAGCGGTTTTCTACTTACGACCTGACTTTCTGTTATGTTCTCTCCCTTCCCTTCACAGTGCCTTCTCTTGTGGAAACTGGCTGTCTCAAGTGTCGTTCAGAGCCACCCCCAGCCCAGTGCCCTACCCTGGCAGGCCTGCCCTGTGGTCACTGGTGACGCAGGCGCCAAAATTAAACAGCTACTCTCACTAGCTCCACTCTCGGCCTCGCTCAGACAAGCTGGTGGCCCCACCACTCTTCTGACACCCCCGGGGGCGTCCCATGTGGACCCGGGCCTCCGCCAGGCCTGAGTCCTGGCCACGAGCCACAAGACACCGCGTTAGAAAAGACACCACGTGGTGCTCTTCTCTCTTCTCATCTCTGTTTTCCCGCGTTTTCTGTAAGGAGCATGCATTCACTTCCCACTGGGGAACAAAGACGAAATTAATTAAAAACAAAGAGGACGTGAAATTGATGTCAAAAGGGAGCGAGTCACAGCCAGGGTGGGGACGGGGCCTGCGGCACTCCCTGGGTGGGCACGCCAGGCCCCAGGCTCAGTCCCAGCCCCTCCGGCTCAGGAGAGGAGGGGCGCCCGCGGGCCGGGAGGCGGGCGGCGGCCAGCAGCCTCTGCCCACCCGTGGGCTGGACCCTGAGGCCACAGGCCCTGTGCTGCCCCAGGGAGTCAGGTCCTCCATTCTTGGGGGTCTGTTGCCTCCCAGCCCTGGCCTACCAGACCGAGGCAGGGAGACCAGCGGGTGAGGCGGGAAAGGGGGTGCTGAGGTGACGCCGATGCCCTGGGGACAGAAGGAGAGGTTCTGCAGGCTCCTCAGCTGGCTTTCCTCTTTCTCAGGAGGAAGATCTTCCACCTGCCTCTCAAGGGAAAGAGAAGCCAGGGCCTATGGAGCTGCTTCACCATCCATTCCTCGAAGCGGGAGTCCAAGGCCCTGCGCGCCCTGGCTCTGTGTTCCCCTGGGTCCCCTCGTCCCCTTGGAGGGGTCCCCGCCATGTGTGCTCAGGATCCCATTCCCCTGCCTTCTCTGGGGACCTGGGGCAAGGACTCAGGGTCCCTGCTGTGGGATGGAGCTCCATCCACTCCTTCAACAAGCGTCTACCGTGGCCTTTACCGGGTGCCAGGCTCTAGTCTAGGCGCTGGGATCCGCAGTGAATAAACCAGCTCGCTTCCACTGGGGACACGGGACGCAGGAGCAGGAGAGCCCAGTGTGCAGGGACAGTGGGTGCTACAGAAGGCAGTGAGGCAGGTAGGGGCCGCCGCGTGGGGAGGGGAGGTCCGACAGGCCCTCCCTGGAGAGAGAATGCAGAACGCAGATCCGGATGAAGGGTG